CGCTCGAGGAAGTCGATGATCAACGGGACGGCAGGTGATACAGGTGATACAGGTCATGGAATTGAACGGAACTGAACACACGGCTCGCTGCCATCCGACAGCAGAGGGGTCGGCTACGTAGGTGTCCACGTCAACATGCACTAGGCCATGAACATCGAATCTTACCAAAGCTTGACAACTCGGACTTTTGTGATTGAAAACGTGTGGCTTGTGGCACAGCTTCAGCTGTAACAATCTTCACCCTCGCAAATCTTGCTTACGCAACAACATCATGCTACGAATTGGAGAAGTTGTAACCATGCCAAGACTCGCCACGAAAAAACGGCTAGAGAGCTCATCAATGGACTAATGAGACGGGATGGAATGAGCAGGGCTGAAGACTCTGAGTTATCCATGACGACACCCAGATAATGTCGCCAGATGGTCCCGTAATTGAATGCTGAGCAATATCTTCAATCGAGAGTTTCGAAGTGGTTTAGAAGGGAAGGATTTTCATGGGCGACACCATCTAGACCACAGTTTTCATTGATATCATGGGTCATTTTGGAGTAGAGAAGAGTGAGGAGTGGGAAGAGTAGAGATCCACGGCCGCTACTTACATTGTATCGCTTTGCAAACGACGTCGTGTTTATAACAAAAAACATAGAGGAGGCAGGGAGAATACTGGATTCGACAGAGCTTGTGAACACTTTTGAACCCAACGAAGTCTATGTCAACGGGAAACGGATTGGTAGCCAGCATCATGATCAATCTTAACAGGTTTCGGAGGAGAAGGATTGCTGTGTCTCGTGTCCCTCAGGCGAGATCGATCCAGTGGAATACTCTGCTCAGGAAAGAGAGACTAGCTAGCTCCTGCTCAAGGAAATCGATTAACGAGAGGACAGGCGATACAAGTAATCGTTTTTTGACTGATGNCGGCAGAGTTTTTTTTGAACTTTAAAGTGCTGGTTTACCGGTACCCATGGTCTCACAACAATTAGTTCGGATATAGGTTATGGACAAAGCTAAGTAATTAGTGGAGGCTCAATATGATGTATTTTATGATTCACTCACCGTTCACACCATATATTCCGAGAAATCCACGGACCCCACAACCACAGCTGCAGCGCTCCTTCAACTCCTTGAGAATCTCTTCATGGACTACTATATTCCTTTCAAACCATTCTACTAAAAAAAAGACTAGTATTCTAAATATGTTTATACTGACAAGAACTCTAGCCGGAAATCGTACGTCTACGAGGTTTATGAATTAGCAAATTGAAAACTGCTATATACTCATTCAAGTTTTCTGTTTTTGTTATTACACATATTAAGGGTCATTCCAATATGTACAAGTCTACTTTACTGTCCACTCGCCAATTACTTTTCTTATCAACCATTACCACTGACAAGAACTCTAGCCGGAAATCGTACGTCTACGAGGTTTATGAATTAGCAAATTGATAACTGCTATATACTCATTCAAGTTTTCTGTTTTTGTTATTACACATATTAAGGGTCATTCCAATATGTACAAGTCTACTTTACTGTCCACTCGCCAATTACTTTTCTTATCAACCATTACCAACATGAAGAGGACCCCATTATCCTTACTGTCCTTACAGTACAATTACAAGTTTGGTGTGCCTGTTTGTTTATGTGCTTGCCTGTTTGTCTGCTTACTTGTTTCTTGTCTATCTATCTAGATGTCTAACTAGCTAGGTGTGTATCTATCTAGATGTCTATCTATCTGGATGTCTATCTATCTAGATGCCTATCTACTTTCTGTCTGTCTGTCTGTCTGTCTGTCTGTCTGTCTGTCTG